TGTTGAATATAATTATTATAAAGGCCATAAAAATAACAAAAACAAATAAATATACAATATGTAAAAATGTTCAATGATATTCGAGAATAAAATTTTAAAAGGACATTTTCAATATCTAATCGTCGTTATGCATAAAAAATGTTAATAATATTTAATTCTACAGAATTTTTTCTTTCATTTGGTACCCATATTCCATCACAAAAAGGAGAAGGTTATCAATTCGTCGGAATATTTTTATTTTTATCTTTATGTATGTTATTATATTTATAATTATTTTTTTAAAGGAAAGGTGTTACCTCAAGGTTATCCCATACTAATTTGGACTAAATCCGACCATTGGATCATGAAGAAATTTACGGTAATCTTAAATTTTTATATGAGAATTGAAGTCGTGTTTGTTTTTTGTAGAGCTCTTGTTAAAATTCGACTATCCGGCTGTTCGGTTAGTCGACTAGTCGATTAGCAACTTTTTGGTCGGTTGATAGTCGAATAGCAATTATTCGATTAGCCGCTCAAATTCGACTAACCGTTCACCTTCGACTAACCACTCTCTAACGAATAGTCTGAAAATCGACTGACGGGAATCATTCGAATATAAAAAAAAAACAATGTTTACGGAAAGAAAACAACTAGTCGAAAAATCGAAAATGGACGAAAATAGTCGACTAGTTGCTAGTGAACGGTTAGTTGAAAAAGTCGAAAGGAAACTGTTATTAGATTTTTCTATTCGACAAATCGATTAGCCGACTAACAAGAGCTCTAGTTTTTTGCCTAAAAATTGCTTGTTTTAAATAATTTTTTGAATTAGTCATACCTTTGAAATTTTAAAGTCATTTAAAAAAAGCCTGAATTCAGAGAGAAAGTAAAAACGCAGTTTCACAAGTTTTTCCCTTGCTATTGCAAGATAAAACGTATATCGGTATATCCATTTCTTATGCCACAGTGGCGTTAAGCCGGCCATATATAGGAAAAAAACGACGCGTCCAGAAAACATTAAGGAGATTGTATCTTTTCAAATCAAAACCTGAACATTCCACTTACTGTACACGTGGAAGACAACCTTCATGTAAATCTGGTCGTATGCCTGTTCAATTCCCAACACTTTTCCTTGTAACGGCAAGAAAATTTCATTTGAACAAATGGAGACAGTTCTTACTCGTATCTATCTAACAATTCTTACTTCGTATCGAATAAGGTGAAAGAGTGTTTCTTTTCTTTTTCTGATATTTCGATGTCTTCTTCATACACATATTTTTCACCTAAAAGAGCTCCTTGGCTGACCAGTAAGAGGTCCTGTTCCTACGAGTCCCATGCAGCTCTTTTCACCCGAGAATATCTGCTACTTCATTGCTTTTAAGCCAGAAACAACTACGAAGATTTATGGCACAAAATCCCACAAACCCAGATTAAAAAGTAAAAAATAAATCAAAAAATAATCAGCGACATTACAGGGACTTTGAGAGACGTTTTTTAAGATCTTTATGAATGTGTTCTAAAAACTCTTGTTTCATAAATTTTTTATGTAGCTTTTTTATAATTTCTTTTATATTTTTAAAAATAATTTCCTTATAATTTACTTATCTCACCTGCATATGGCGCTTTGGCTGTACGCTGGTCCCTCGGTCACCGACAATGCCTGACCCACTTGAGTCTGGGTGAGACCCAACGATAAGCGGCGCAGTTTGAAAGCTTTGGCGAACTCTTTGATCTCATCCAAATCGATGCCTTCAACGACATTTGTGNAAAAAAAAAGAAAATTAGACTTGGCGAAAGGAAATGCTACTTAAAAATATTTTAAACTAATATACTTAGATACATATAAATACAACGACTAGAGCTAAGCTAATGCTTATAAAATATAAAAGTTATTTAACGGTTATTGCTATTAAATTTTCTTATATAAAAAGAAGTGACTAGGAAAACCTAATTTAAAATTAGATATATTAAAAGTAATTTGCAGTTGTATCAAAATGATTGCATCCTTTACTTGTTGCCTAACTTAATTTTC